CTCTGAGGTCCATACACTGAGCCAACACTCACCTTTCCTCTCCCTGGCACTGGCACACCTTCCCTGCCTCTCCAGGCCAGTACTGGATGACTAATGATGCTCTAGGGAAGATACCTCCAAAAGGGAGGACGCCTCTGCGTAGCCCTTGGGTACCACGCTCTTCATCAAGAAAATTTATTAGTAAAGCAACATGAAAAAAGATAGTACACCACCCAGACAGAGGTGAGGACACATCTGATAACAGGTGCAGTGTTTAATATCATGTGTATTTATGGTGTATTAATGTGTATTATGTGTATTTATGTTGTTATAGTTTTATCAGTTCAACTCAGAGGTTTTAGGAATTACCTCCTCATTGAACTTTGGTCATTGATATCTGGGCATACCTTCAAAGCAAGGATGCATTTTGCTATGTACTTCTTTTAAGACAGGTATTCATCCTCTTCATCCCACAAAGTTTCAGGGCATAGAAAAATATATGTAAGTTATATGAAACAATTTCACATGAATGGCCTTACCTCAAATCCGAGTAGGGATATGGGGAGAGAAGGTGTTTTTATGTGTGTTAGCTTTTGTCATTGTGACAAAACACCAGCAACAAGAACAACATCAGGGAGGAAGCATTTATTGTAGCTCACAATTTCAAAGCTGTCGATCCAACCATGCTGACCCCATTGTTTCTGGGTTTGTGGTGAGAGAGTATATCATGGTGAGAGGACATGGTAGAGCTGATTCACTCTTCTCATGGCAGCTAGGAACAACAAAGCATTCCATGAAGGAGATGTAAACAAAATAACCTTCAAAATCATGCCTCCAGGGAACCACTTCCTCCATCCTTGGTTAAACTACCACAGTTACCTGATAAAACAAGGCCCATGCCTGCTATCACCACTCTTAAGACAGGCACACTGCTACCTATATCCAAGAAATGTCCCTAAACCACTCCTAACTCCCCACTTTGGTGGTAGGTGAAATTGGAAAACTGTAATATAGCCCCCACCTGCCAATCCAAAATGACCATCACGAAGGGCTCATTCTGTGGAGATACTATGAACCCCCAGCTTGATCCAAACCAAGCTTAAATTGTCATAGATACCATTGGTAGCACTCAGAGCTCTCTTGGTGAGGCCCTCTTTCAAGTTATGGAGCGTATTCCAACTTTAGTCTTACTTTTACTTTAGCAAACCTGTGCTTTTCTCAAATTTCCTTTGTGCATTTCATTCACTTGTATGTTTGAGGCACCAAGAGCCTAGGATGATACCTAATTGAGACTACCTATAATGTATTTGCAAGTTCAGACTATCAGAGGACTAAACAGTTGATCAGACCCTGCTTGTTAACACAAGCCTACAATGGTAGCTGTGGTGGCTAAGGCTGGAAAACCATGAGTTTGAAGCTGACGTTGGCTGTCTCTAAATACATAATCGTTGATGAGGTCAGAGCCCAGATGATCTGTCTCTAGAAACATTCTCACAGACATACACACGGAGGTGTGTTTTAGTAATCGCCTTGGCCAATCCAATGCAATCCAATCCAGTCAAGTTATACATGTGTGCACACATCCATAAAATCTATCTTTGTGTTTAGTTGAGTTAGAAAGTAAGTTTCTGACTGTAAGTGAAATGTGAAACGAAGTCCAAGAGTGGATTATGAAATGTGAGATCACTTGGCAAAGGCCAATCTGCCCAAATCACTGGATGTTAAAAGGTGTTTAAATTTAGACAATAAATTAATTCTAAAAGTGATAATTTGCTCACTAACCAAATGGGGGTAATGAAATACTTATATCACAGCAGTAGTGAACATTAAAATAATAGTACAAACATGAAAGTTTTAATAAGCATCTACAAGAAGAGATATTGTCCTTGCTTTTGTTGTTATTGCTACTATATTATTTTGACATCTTGGAAAAATTACCTATAACGATGCGTATAAATCAAAAAATAAAAAAGCTGCATCTTTAAAGTAGGTTCCCCTTAGGGGAAAGGGAAGTTCCTCTGTCGTACAGCCCTCACTTCCATCCAGTGTGTTATTAATGGAACTTAGAAAGGTAGGATAGAGTCATAACTAGAAATAGTTCTCTTGGATACGACTTCTTGCTGTTATGATGTGGTCCTTGTTTAGCCCTGTTGAATTCTATCATATGATAGATAGATAGATAGATACATACATACATACATACACACACACACAGACACATACATACATACCACAATTTTAGAAGTATGAAAAAAAAAAAGGTTGCCATGAGGACAATCTGGTGGGAAGTGTATTAAAATGGAATTTGCCAGAATTACTAAAAAGAAAAATTTGCCCGTGTTCATACAAGGCCAAGACCCCCTCCCCCTCCCCCTCCACAAGATGTAACGGGATTAGTGTGCTCACATGTCCAGGTCCACAGCTGGTTCCGTATGAAGAGACTGCTAGAGGAGGAAGCGAAGGGAGGAACCTGAGGGCGGAGGAGGTGGGGATATTCACTGTATTATGCTGGAGGAGTCATCTCCACCGCCCGGAGGGGTCAGCTCTGCAGAGCCCCGACGGTGCCTTCAGCCTGACCTGGCCCTCACCTGTCTTCCAGCTCAGGAGCTTCAGGCAGGCCCTAGGGGGACAGGGTGGAGGTTCAGCCGGGAACTGAGTTGAGGCCACCACAGGAGGCCGGACAGCACTCCAGAGAACCCACTTCCGCCCCTCTCATTGGCCGCGGGAGGACCCGGGCAGGGAGCGGATGTGACCTCACCACTTCCGCCCCGAGGTGTTTGTCTGTTCCACTGGCTTCCTGTCCGTGATCGGTTTGAAAGTCCCTCTTGTCAGTACCTCCGGGATCTGGAGGAGTCGGAACTTGCTCTGAGATTTGTGGAACGACGACTCACTGGACCCTGAGGTGAGAGCGGAGGGCGTTGTGAGCAAGCCTCCAACCCATCTGCTGATGGGCGTTGCTAAATAATCCGTCCTGGTGTCCTTTGTTCTTTTTTTTTTGTTGGTCATGGGGCCTGAACTCTGGGCCTGGGTGCTGTCCCTCAGCTCTTCAGCTCAAGGCTAGCGCTCTACCACTTGAGCCACAGCGCCACTTCCGGCTTTTTCTGCTTATGTGGTGCTGGAGAATTTAATCTAGGGCCTCCAACTTCCCAGCCCCCCTGTCTCCTTTTCTAGCCTGGATACCACTGAGTTGACGTTCTCAGGGAGGCTAGAGGGGACGCAAGAGAACCCATTTCCGTTCCTCAGATCAGCTATTGGACGATTTGCACACGGAAGCGGATGTAACTACCACTTCCGCCCCAGACGGGAAAGCCGTTAGAAGTCTCTAACCGGTGAATGTATTCTGAGTCTGTAAGTTGGCGCAGTTCTCAACTAATTCCTGTGTTTCCACTTCTCCCTCATCTTTCATTCCTTCCCTCCCTCCCCCTTCTTCTGCCTGAAGGAACCCTGGGAGTCATAGTGTTGGTCTAAATTCTTCGGAGTTGAGAAGTTTGTAGTCTCTAAAGGATCAAGGTGAGATATGAGGGTGGACAATGGATAACTCCCCAAAGAGGGCCCCAAATAGTTAGACCTTCCCTTTGTTGTCATCTGAGCCCCACATGGGGATGTGTAGCAAGAACAGCACCACCATGCCTACTTTGGGTGTCACAGCCTTAGACGTAAAGAGTTCAGGAAGACAAAGGAAACCCTCCCTTCCTTTATATTTCGAAATAATCCAGCCCAGCCTCCCATTTTTACCCGGGGACCACAAGAGATCCAACTAACCAGTATTATATGTCCCTGCCATCATCCACCCCTCCCCTATTCCTTTCACCTCAGGTAACCATGGGAGATAAGAGTCTTGGTCTGAGGTAAATAAGAGGGTCAAAGTGCTGCACACTGTGGGGTCAAGGTGAAAGCTGAAGAAAAATCAAAGTGAAATCCCTATTGTGAGGTTACTAAATAATTTAGCCCTGCCTTTGCTTCATGCCTCAGTCCCAGCAGGACCACAAGGGACCCTCTCATTAAGCTAGCCTGGCCCCACCCCTCCCCCATAAACTGCATCCTTACATTTGTCCCCCAGTTCTAACAGAGGTGTAAGCTGGCAGTGAGAGGAGCCATTGTTGGACCACAGAAAGTGTTGCCTAGGATGTGCCAGGAGTGAAGGTAAGAACTCAGTAGGTCCAATATCCACAATGGGCCACGAAGAATTTCTCCATCTGGCAGTTGTCCCTGGGCAGGTGTGCCAAGATATAAGGTCCCCTCATTAACTTTTGCTCCACTTCAAAGAGGTGATACCTTATTCTAACAGTTTGCCTCAGGCCAGGTTGAGTGGAGGATGGGATCTCAGCTCTGCTAGGATAAAGTTGATATCCAGAATAAACACAGGGGACTTTCTTCTCTCTCCCCCAGACCAGTATGGATCTCAAAGACAGGAACCTCCTCTCCCATTGCATTGAAGTCACAGTGATGTCCTTTAAGGATGAAGACATACATAGAGATCAAGTGAAGACTGCTTAGTGTCTCTGCCAAGAGCTCCAGGGCCAGAAGTTGAGAACATGTTTCCTTTGATTAAACAGGAGATGACACTCAGGAGTCAATATGAGGTTACACCTTGAAAGTTTACCATGGTCCCCATCTATCCGAAAACATAGTACTCAGCACATTGTCTAGCTTCACATGCTCTTCTGACACCTGTCAATTCTCACACAACCACTGGCACTATTAGCATCTTACTTCTTTTCATACGCTCTCATGGGACAAGACCAGCTAGGAAATGTGTGACCCTAAAGCAACCCCCAAACCAAAGTCCAGTAATAGGCTTTTTTAGTAATAGACTTTCGTGAGAGCTCCTAGGGCTACAGTTCTCAGCTTAGGTCATGCATATGTTCCCTCTCTCATCTAGGTCTTCGAAGCCCCATCACTGACGTCCTGCCAACTGTGACCTTCTCTGTTCAAGAAAAGTCATGCAGCGCCGTGCTCAGAAAGGCCAGCACAGCAAGCGTGCACTTGGCCCTAGGGCTCAAAGGCAGGCACCCAACCCAATGATACGAATAATTCCTATTGCATTAGATGTGTCCGCTTTTGCTGCCACCTCTTTTCCCACCACTCTGATCCCCATCACCCAAAATGGGTTGCCTGCTGAGATCCAGCATGGTTTCCAGAGTTCTCAGAGAGTGTTAGCTACCCCCATGCGCTTGTGCTCCCTTCTGTATGGCCACTTCAGTCAGGCTTCCTGGACCCAAGAAAACCTGTGTCTCCAGGGTAGCATGATCGATCCTGAATCTTTGCAGGAGGATGCATTATCTTTAGTGCTCCTCATGATCCTCAAATATGAGAAACATGAGGTGGTTACCAGGGCAGAAATGATGACCTGCATCCTCAGAAGCCACTGTGCTTATTTTCCTGTCATCTTTAGTAGAGCGGTTGATTGTATGCAGCTGGTATTTGGCATTGATGTGAAGGAAGTGGAGCCCAACAGCCACTCCTACATCCTTGTCATTACCCTGGGGCTCACCTATGATGGCATGCTTAGTGATGTCCAAGGCATGCCAAAGACTGGCCTCCTGATAGTCATCCTGGCCATCATATTTATGGAGGGCAACCACGCTCCTGAATCTGCAGTCTGGGATATTCTTTGTAAAATGGGTGTGTGTGTTCAGCAGAAGCATGACATCTATGGAGATCCCAGAAAGTTAATAACAGTAGATTTTGTGCAGGAGCAGTACCTAGAGTACCAGCAGGTGCCCAACAGTTTTCCTGCCCGCTTTGAGTTCCTATGGGGCCCAAGAGCCCATGCTGAAACAACCAAAGTTAAAGTCTTGGAGCACTGGGCTAAGTTTACTGGGTGTGATCCCAGATGCTTTCCATTCTTATATGAAGAGGCTTTGAGAGATGACCAGCAGAGCACTCACACATGAGTAGTAGTCACAGACGTATTGTGGTGGGAGGCTCATTAGTTTCCAATAGCAGCTCCTGCTCCATGTTACATGAAACCATTTTTTTACTTTGTATTTAAAAAGTGAGAGCCTTCTTAGTAGAGCCCAGGACCTGTTGAGGGGAAAGTGCTGCGTACAATTATGTCATTCTGTTGTATTTGTGTGACTCTCCCTTTCAATTGAATGTTTATCTAACTTCAGAATGGAAAATTGTAAATGACAATAGTCACATCTATTTGCTGTTAATATAATTTAGGAGTGAATCTTCCTAATTTTTCAGCCAGTTGCCAAAACAGAAGACTTCAACATTATATAAAGAAATGGATAAATGAAATGTTAATTCTTGACTTCTTCAATTGTCTTTCCTGTGATATTAAAAGATATGTATGTTGACCTGGATTTTTCTGGGCTCTAACTTGAATTAGATGAAAGTAAATCTTAATAAATGTGTTCCCCAACTTACTGTTCCATTCATTCTTCACCCCTTCATTGAACACCTGCTCTTTGGAAGATGTTTGATTACTGGCGGAGGTATTAGTAAATTGAGTTTGATCCGGCCCACATTTACTCACAGGATGATGGTGTCTAGGAGTAGCACTCATGTCAGGGGGTGCTGAGATGTCCTCAAAGATGAAAAGAACACATGAAGTAGGGATGAGGAGACAGGAATCCAAGGACAGTAGCCCATGGTCAATGTCCATAGCCAAGTCAGGCTCCCATTTGTGGAAATTCTAATTCTTTGTGTGGGAGTTTACTGCTGCAGCATGGGTCACATCCTAGGATGAAGTATCATCAGCCTGAGAGAATGGGAGACTGCTCTGTGCAGCTCCTTTTGGGTGCAAGGAAGAATGTCTTCCTGGGGCACATATATGAAGTGCAAAGGAAGTAGGTGAATTATCTGACCACGTAAGGTCTAGAAGCTCCTGTCCAAGTGCTCTTCTGGGTGGGTTGATGAGCTAGAACACACTATTAAAATAACATTTTTATTTTGTTATATCGAGTGTGATTTGACCCACTCTAAGCAAATACTAGATTTTAGTGCAGTGGGGGAGGGAGGCTGGTACTAGGACTTGAACACGGTGCCTCATGGTCTCACTGGAGGTTTTTGTTTTTTTTTTCTCACAGTTGACACTCTACCACATGAACACCTAAGGTCTGACATTTTCTTCCCAGGTTGGGTTTAAACATTAAACCTATGTATCTCCACTGCCTGAGTAGCCTGGATTACAGGCATGAGTCACCAGCTCATGGGGGAATTTCCTCCAATCAATTTAGTAAGGGACTGGGTTAGAAAGAGACCTCAGGTCTCATGTGGAGGGCATGCTGTAACCACTCATCCATCCTAGCCTAGGGCCAACCTTCTGACTCACAGTCCATGTCTCTTCTCAACATTACACAATGTCTCCGTAGTGACCAAAGAAGGGCCTTGAAAAGGCCAACACATTGCAAACAGCCATAAACAAGTAACAGTGCAAAGCAAACACTGTTGCCTGCAGTTGGTTCCTAAAATGTGATTCTTCCCACATGTGGACATTTCTGTCAATTCTTCCCTGATTTACAACCTCTTTCTCTTGTTCATCCTCCATGTGCCCTCCCTTCCAATGCTACACCGCTTTCCTGATTCCTAGCTCTTCCAGACCCACTCCTCTGGAGGACATAAAGAGTCACATGTCCTACCCTTAACACAGAGCATTGATGGGCCTTGCAGAAACCCCCACCAGCAAGGAAGTCAGACCTGAAGACCAGTGCATCTCAGAAAAGGTCTTTATGGAAAACAAAGGCCAGAGAGGGAAGGAGAGCAGCCCCTGATACTTAGACTAACAACAGTAATTTAACCAGGTAAACAAAAAAGCTCACCCACTTGGGCCCTCTAGGCAGTATTCATGTCTGTCCTTCTCATGCCTGTAATGTTCTGTAATGGTCTGTGTTGATCTAATATAAGCAACATCTTTTCCATATCTGAGTTTGTTTCTGATAGTTACTCCCTTACTTACTTCTGTGGGAATTTTTTTGGATGCTGATCCTGGGACTCGAACTCAGGGCCTCAGTGCTGTCTCTAAGAAATTTTCCTGAAGGCTGGCACTCTACCACTTCAGCCACAGAGTTTTTGCTAGGTTAGTGGAGATAAGAGTCTCATGGACTTTTCTTCCCAGGCTAGTTTTGAACCACCATCCTAAGATATTAGCTTCCTGAGAACCTAGGGTTATAGATGTTAGCCACCAGTGTCTGGCTCCTGTGTTTTTAATCTCTTAGAATGCATTGTAAATTTTTTGAAAGCAAGATTCCATGTATTGACTACAAGGTATAAAAGAAACAAAGTTTCAATGTGAGTGTGTTCTCTTTCTGACTAGGAGGTAGGCAGTGTTAATTTTTTGTCGATATGAGAGACAGAGTATTAAGAAAATTCTGGCCTGTGTCAAGGAGCCCTAGAATTTTTCCTGTTCCTGTCTGTAAAGTTTTCAGGGTATCTGCTTTGACATTGAGGTCTTTGATCCATGTGGAATTGATGTAGTGCAGGGGGATATATGGGGATCTAGTTTTAGTTTTCTACAGGTGTTTAACCAATTTTGCTAGCATCATTTACTGAAGAGGCTGTCTTTCTTCCAATCTATTGTTTTTAGCTCCCTTATTGAAGATTAGGTGGCTATAGGCCTGTGGGTTCATTTCTGGGTCTTTAGTTCTATTCTATTGGTCTTCAGGTCTGTTCTTGTGCCAGTACCAAGCTATTTTGATTACTATGGCTTTGTAGTAGAGTTTGAAATTTAGTATTGACATTCCTCTAGCACTGTTCTTTCTGCTAAGGATCGTTTTTGCTATTTGGGGTCTTTTATTGTTCCATGTGAATTTTGGGGTTGCTTCTTCTATTTCATTGAAGAAAGAGGTTGGACTATTGATAGGTATTGCATTGAATTTGTAGCTAGTCTTTGGCAGTATTGCCATTTTCACGATGTTAATCCTCCCAATCCAGGAGCATGGGAGGCATTTCTACTTCCTAAGTTCTGCCTTAGTTTCCTTTTTTAGGTTTTTAAAGTTTTCATCATAGAGGTCCTTCACTGCTTTAAGTTAACTCCTAGGTATTTTATTTTTTGTGGGGCTATTATGAAAGGAGTTGCTTTCCTGATTTCAACTGCACTCTTCTCATTGTTGGCACATAGAAAAGCCTTTGATTTCTGAGGGTTAATTTTATACCTGCTACTTTGCCAGAATTTCAAATCAGCTCAAGTAATTTGGGAGTTCTTTGAATACAAGAGATAAAGAGATTAAACTTCCTGCCACTGCCATCTCCTTTTTGTAACTGTCCAGTTGCCCAGGCACACTAAGGACTCCTTTTCCTCTTCCTCCTCCCCTTTTCTTTCCTTTTGTCCTTCTTATCCACCTCCTCTTTGTTCTTTAGCTCTCTTTCTTTGAGGTAGGTTCTTGCCCTGTAATTCAGACTGGTGTCGAACTCATGTAGTCCAGGCTAGCAATGAACTCCAGATTCTTTTTCCTCAGCCTCCTGAATGTGGGGATTACAGCCAGGCACCACTATTCCTGGTTGAAGATTTCTTAAATGAGGTAAAAGATGTACAGTTCCTTCAGTTCTATTCCCATGCTATTTCAAAGGAGCCCTACTGACATAGGATCAAGTTGTGGGAGAGAGGAAGAATTTTAATACCCTTCGGCAGGTCTCAGTCTTTTTGCTAGCCTGTGCCCAGGGACTGTACCTGCATGTGCTTTTCATTCCCTACACCTAAACTTTTTATGTCGGGATCAGTGTTCTTCTCAGGAGTTGGATTCCCTGTCTTGAGAGCTTTAGGTGTCTTCCTAGTTGTTGCAGATGCTGCCAGGACAAGTTGGAGGCAGGGCCCTCAGGATCTAAATATGCTTTGTCTCATTCCCTGTATCCTGTAGAGGCCACCTTCTTCATTGGTGGACTGTAAAGGGTGGGCTTTTGCACAGTTCTCCTTCTTTAGACACAAAATGAGAACTTTCAAATCTAGGCCACTTTGAGGCCAGGCTGGTAGATAGAAGAAAGAAAAACTAATACAAGAACTTCACCAGCATGGTGATCTTACTCTAACTGCTACTTTCCTAATCTCCCACTAACACCTATTCTTCATGAAATGGAACTTCTGATTTTACTGTAGTGCTAGACTTGCAGCAAAAGTGCAACGTGTTTCTATTACCAAGTATGGGAAATGACAGAATTCACTGCAAAGGTCAGTGGTGAGGATTATATTGGATGTTTGCAAAGCACTGCAAAGAGTCCTTGAGATCTAGATAGTACTCATGAACTTGTGAAAGCCTTTCCATTCTTCTCAGCAGTGTCCCAATCTACAACAACTTGGGTAGACTATGGAGGGGCTGAGTCCCCAGCACCAAATGGGGGACTCCAAACCATTAAATCAGGTTTGAAAGCCTGCTGCACTAGGAAAAACAAGAGGCATTACAGAATTAACTCATGGCTACAAGTCATCCTAGCAAATTGTATTGCACACAATCAGCAAGAAGAAAGATGCATACCAGGAAGTCTAAGGCAATCAGACATGTTTCCAAAAGGGTCACAGTGGATACACGTGATTCCTCCACAAATAGAGGCCAGGCATATAGAATGTTGCCATCCAGTAGAGCTCCAAGAACCTCAGCACCCAGTTTTCCTGAGGGTGGTCAGGAGGTCTATTCTGCCCCAGCAGGAATCAAGTTCCAGGTCCCCTGTGAAAGTCTCTTCATGTGATCCTCTCTTTCTCATCCTCACCTATTTTGTAATATTCCAGTTCTCATAGGTTGGCAGTCACTGCACAGGAAACACTTCCTCCCATCCCGGCAATAGCACTGAGATAGAGCAACATCCACACTGGAGACAGGGCCCTCCATCCTACTTCTACCTGACATGAAGCCTCATGCTTGCTATACTCCAGCCTGAAAGCACATTTGGATACTTTTACAAATGCCTTTTCTCAACAGTTGGACTATGAATTGTCTATTTGCAAGGCTTCTGGGGTTCTACGAAATGTTTCTTTTTATTCATAGTCTGTCTTAGATCTAGGACCAGCCTCTCCTCCTTTCTTCCCTCTCTTCCTTCCTCCTTTTCTGTCTGTGTACATTAATATACACATGTATTTGTATGGTGTTTCAAGTAACAAGAGCAAAAATACTACTATTGCTCAGCCAGCATGGCAACCATTAAGAACAGAAACAATAAATTTTGGCAAGGATATAGAGAATAAGGGACTTATATTCACTGTTGTTAGCAATGTAAGTTAATGCAGCCACTGTGGAAATCAACATGGAGATTCCTCAAAAAACTTAAAATAGGTCTTCCATAAATCCTGGAGTATTAATCAAACACAACAAACAAATTGCATCTGCAGTAAAATGGATAGAACTGCAAATCATTATAGTAATAAAAAT